CATCAGAGAATCTGGCCACAGACTTGTTTCATGTCATCTGTACCTGAGCAAGAAATAAATATTCTTTACACTTCTAAACTATGGGGGCTCTTTGTTATCTCAGCATAACCTACCTTCTCATGACTAATACAAATACTCTACAGATGACATGAAACAAGTCTGTGGCCAGATTCTCTGATGCGCAATCCCAGATGAATCATTTTTCTCCTCTTTTTCTCTTTCCTTATTTCAAACATTTCCTTCTTTCATCATCTCTGTTTGGCTCATTGAAGACCTATTTCTGGACACTTCTACATATGAAGTCCTGAGGATATAGCAAGGAGCAAGGCAGACCTGGTTTCTGCCCTGTGACACAATTTATGCGAGAGACAGGCATGATTACAGAGAACAAAGAAGCATGGGGTGAGTGTTGCGATGAGTACAGATTAACCCTTTTAAGACTTTTGTTGATAAAGGCCATCCAGAGCAAACTAGGGTGACGGTTCTCGGGGGCTGTGTTTTGAAACCCTGGAGGGGGCCAACTGGTTACAAATGTTTTGCAAGGATTTTGTAACCTATATTAAATCACCAAGATTTTCCCATCTCCCTGCCTTCCTCCTTTCCTCTTCTCCTTCCCTCCCTGTTGTGTCTCCCTCTTTCTCTCCTTCCCTTCCCTCGCTTCTTTCCTTCCTCCCTTCCTTCCTTAAATGAATCAGAACCGATTTGTAGTCACCCCCACGCTAACCCCACCCTCACTGATTGATAACCCACTGTGCTTTCCTGAGTAGGACGGATCGTGGTAGAATGAGAGGCACCATGCCTAAAGCTGAAGCCTACACATCATAGCATCATTGGGCACTTTAAATATATAATATAGAACAGCCCCTGAAACACTGTGGGCGCTGTATAAATGGGTTAGCTTTATCAATATGAGGTTTGGTATGTACGTCACGAGTGCGTCATGCACATGACCATCATTTTTCATTGTGGAAAATACTGAAGAATGGCTGAAATAAGAGTCCTCAGAGTTAGCTTCTGGGGGGCAAACAGCATAGGTGAGGAGCCAGCCTAGGTGTCCTGGTGGGCATTGTCTCATGTGACCCTCACCACAACACTACAGAGGACTCTCATTATTATGTTTTTTAAAAAAGAGTTATTTATTTATTTTAGAGAGGGGGGGGGGGGGGGGGCGGGGGGGGGAGAGAGAGAGAATCCCAAGCACACTCTTCACTGAGTGGGGAGCCCAATGCGGGGCTTGATTTCATGATCCTGAGATCATGACCTGAGCCAAAATCAAGAGTCAGACACTTAGCTGACTGAGCCACCCAGGCGCCCCCAAAGTACTCTCATTATTATTTGTATTTTACAGGTGAGGAACCTGAGGTCTGGACAGGCTAACTCCCTTGCCCGCCAGTGAGGGGCAGAGCCGGGATCCTTTCAGACCCAGGTTTATCTGAGCACTACCCACGTACTCAATCATGACTTTTTACCTGCCCAGCTAAGGTACTTTGAAGGGCTTGACTTGAGCCCACTGTGCTCTGTTCCCTTGCAGGGAACGATGATCCATAGCCAAGAATTCAACCTGGGCCCCCTGGGGATGTGTTTTCTCTCCTTACCACTAATCCCTAGGTTTGGGACCTTCTGTCATAGGAGCCAGACCCCGGAACTGTCACTGTGGAAAGACACAGTAGGCCTTAGGAGCTTCACCACCAAGCCCTTAGCTCAGGGGGTGCATGGAGGTGAGAAGAGGCTAAAGCCCATCATTTCTGCTAGCTTCAGTCAACTGCCTTCCTTGGGAGCCCCCTCCTGCCTCACCAACAGACAAGAGGCCATGGGCAAGTAGAGAAAAACACATTCTTTCCCAGACTGTGGCATCAGGTGATCTGCTCCTCCCCACTGCAGCCTTAGAATGGAGCTGGTGCTTCGGAGTCACAACAGCCAGGGCTCATTAGCCTGGGTCTCAGTTTTCCCATCTGAAAAATGGGAATGAAACTCTTTCTCATCTAGGGAAGGTGAGAGAGTTATAAAAAGTCAGGATATAAGTCCTGAGCGCAAATTGAGCCCTCATCAAGGAGAACTGCTGCAACCAGACTGTAGCACCTGCACCCCAGGGACAGCAACACTAACTATAATAATAGGGGGACACTCTCCACGTGGGTGGATGGAGTAGCTCGCCCTCCTTGGTCCAACAGGCAGAGACCATTCAGACTCCAAAGTACTCAGAGCCCAGAGTGCCCTCCAAGCCCCAAGCCAACTTAACTTCTAAGTCCTTTCGTGGTTTTTCCAAAGACTCTGATCCATGCGGGTCCTGTTTCCCCTCAGACCCCAAAAAGATGCTTGCATGCCATTTTGCATAAATGGTTTCACTACAAGCAAGTTTGCTTTGGAATCACACCATCTTGACTCCATTCCCTGCTTAGCCACTTCCAAGCTGTGCAACCTTAGGCCCCGCGTTTCCATTGAATGAGGTACCTAGAGTACACCTCCAGATCGGCAGGGCAATAAGGAGGGTCAGGGATAGCCTGGAGCAAGCACCCAGGGGAGAGGCCCATGGTGGGTGCCTAATTAATGGCAACTTTGCGGGGAGAAAGAGGGGGACAGGAGGAGGCAAAGGGGTATTTAGAGTCACTTTGAATGAGAAGTGATGACCCAGGGTAGAATCCTGAGTTAAGCCTGTGCTCGGGGTGCAGACAGCCTGGGTTCAAACCCTCTCACCCCCGTTGTGTGACTATGAGCAAGATCCTTCACTTCTCTGAAACTGTTTCCTCATCTGTAAAACGAGATTCATACCAACGGTATCTGAATCCTTGGGCCGCCGTGACAAGTGTCAGGCACAGAATAAAGTATGATACAGATGACAGTTTTGCATCCTTATTATATCAAAATCTGATGGCATCACCTAATTTCAAGTCCAGTCTGATGGGGGGACCCCCACTTTCAGAAGCTTCTGCAGAAGGAGCATCCTCCAGCTTGGCCCTGCGGAATCTACCCTTTGAAACCAGCAGTTGACAATGTTCCACAAAGCTTCATTGTTTTCACCTCAGCAAGGAGCGCGTGCTCCTTCCGCAGGCACTTACCTTTGAAACACTGAGCTGCCGTCTGGTGCAGCTTTTCTGTTCCCGGGACTCTGGACAGCCGGGCAAGGCTGCCCTGGAAACCCGATCCCCCAGACCCTCAATTCTAATCATGGTGTTCCTGAGACTTGGGCTCACCTATAAATCATTTTTAATGACAGTTCGAGAAAAAAGAAGTCGCAAAGCAAATCTTACATGACGTTCTCATCACCAACGGCATTTAATATCCTAAATCACATGCTTTATGGCATTGCATCGGGAGCCGTAGGCAGAATGAAGGAGACCTATTATTTTTTGCCTTTTGTGCACCTTTTGTGTGCTTGGGGTCACTCGCTTTAGGGAATGCTTGGCTGTTATGTTTGGGAGGTTCGTTTGGGGGAAGTTAGGATGCTCAGAGGGTCCGCCAGGATTCTTGGGAGACTTTTACACAATGAAGTGGCCTGTGTAGTCGTATCCAGAGCTGGTAATATGAGAAAGTTATGAGAATATAAGCCAGGCCTGATCTGGGGTTACTCGCCACTCACCTGAGGGGCCCCTTCCCTTCCAGGGAAGTCGATACAGTGAAAAATCAAACCAAAGCGACAGCAAATAAAAACAGGCCTTACCTCTCCTCTCCCCAAAGCCCAGCCAGACTTGAGAATGAATGTGAATGCCTACGCTCCAATTCCCTCCCACCTGACAACTGTTTTCTGGGTGTTTGCAACCTGCCTGTGATGTGCCCGAACAGGAGCTCACAGAGGCGACTACGGTACAATTTAATTGAATTTAACCACCAATGTTTAAGCACCTACTGCATGCTAGGAGCTGGACTGGCTGCTGGAACAGGAGTGGCCCTTTAGGGTGATTATGTTAGGCTGTAGCCTTTAAAGTGTCACATACACACACGCACATACACACGCACACACGCGCGTGCACACGCACACACGCACGCACACAAGTAGGGATCAGGGCCCCCGGATGCAGCCAGAACAGCGCCCGCCAGATAGCACCTGCTCGGCGAATGGTTAGGGGGTTAGTGGAGGGATGATCTGGCCAAAGAACCAACAGTGGAACAAAGGGATCAGACTCACACTAATGGGCAGGACAAGCATTGGCTTCCTTCTGGAACCACTTTACATTGCCTGACACATGCCGTAGAAAGAGGATCTGGCATAACACTTAACTCACCATGAGAAGTAATCTGTCTTTGCGAGAGAGACATGTTGACCATCCATCCACAAGAAGATATCCAGAAGACCCGAGTTCCTCTCCTGCCTTTGATTTCTGGGATTGAGCCATGGGAGAGACCTTGACTGGTATGTGTTCACAATGGCCCAGGAGGGAAGGGGCTTCATTCCTGGTAATGGGGTGTCCTCTGCTCTTCCGTTCCAGTGCCGTGGCCCCTAAGAGACGGGTTGCAGTGATAAAGGCAACATTAGCTGTACTTCTACCAAGCGTGGACATTGAGCTCAGGCCTGTGCCGACGTCAGCTCACTTAGCTTTCCTCACACCCTGCAAGGACGATGCTCGGAACAGCTCCTCTATCAGAGAGGGGCTGGGAACAGGAGGTCAGAGGATGGGGGGACAGCACTGAGCACAGTGCCTCGTGCATACTAAATGCCTCATAAATGGCAGCTTCTTTGATATATCCTCAGTTTACAAGTAAGTATCCCAAGGCTCAGAGAAGGGAAGGGAGGAACGAGCCTATGAATTGAGGCATCCAGAACACATGAGCTCCCAATCTTGGTAGGGAGTTCATCCTAACACCGGATCTGGGTAAGTTTGGGCATGTTGCTTCACTCTCTGGGACTCAACTAATAAGAAGAAGAACAATAAATTGAATCACATGAAATTGCCAGTTTCCTACCTTAACGATGTTTGAATATGGCCATGTCATAACCTCAATAAAAACAATTCAATAAAAAACAACTTCCTCATAGAGTTTGCGCAGGGATTAGAAAATAGGCCAAGGCCGAGCAGGGCACCTGGCAAATGGTAATCCCCTAATAAACACATGGGAGTTAGCTTACTGATCACGTCCGTGGCTTTGCTGGATATAGGAAGACGTGAGATGGACTCGTGTCAGCATCGGAAACAAAGCTCCCACCCTGTGTTCCACTCCTGGACAAGGCTGTGTTGCAGGGGCCCCATTCCCTCCTCCTGGGCTCGGTGATACGGGATCAGCAATTTCCTCCACCCCACCACCCTAGTAAATCATTTACCAGCTGCTCTTAACCCCCCTTTTCCACCTCAGGGCAGAGCTATCTGAGCCTGGGCACCCTCCTTTGAACCAGAACTTTGGAATTGTTGTTGGGGGGTCCCAGTGCCCTTTCTTTCCTTCTTGTCCAGGGGAAGCAGGTGTGCATTACAGGTTAGAGCATAATGAGGGAGAGGGAGGCCACGTCCAGAAGTCTGTAGTAATTAGAACTTGGATTCCCTGAGGCCGGTGTCCCTCGGGAACATTTCCATCTCCATCATCATCATAACTACGGTCACCATCACATCAACGGCAGTATCTTCTTTTTCCATCGGCTACTATTACTGCTTCTTTCTCTTTTCCTTCTCCTTCTCCCCTTCTTCTTTTCTGGATTCTCCTCCTTTCCTCCTCCTCCTCCTCCACCATTAGAAAATGCCACTGCACTGCAGAGTCCCTGCCACCTTCTGTTCTAATCTTCCCTTCCTGCGTCCTCATTCTAGGTAGGGTTTGGGGATTTTTCCTCTCTTCCACTTCCATCACGATTCAGCAACATTCAGAGCTTCAGACCTTCCCTAATACTGCCAACCCTTCACCCTTGCCACCCCAGCACCACGAACACTTATCTACCCTGAATCCAGTGGGCTCAGTGGCATCACTTAGATCAGAACAAATTGTGAGCTAATTGCAGAAGAGAACTCCCCATTAACCTCAGCACTGTTCCAACAAAACCAAAACAAGAATATTCCAGAATTTAGACCATTTTGGGCATGTCTGCCTTGGTCACATCCTTAACCACCCATTGCCCCAATCAATAGGAATTGGCTCCAAGAAGGTTCACATCTAACATAGCCATAATTAACTGAGTCAAAATTAGCCCAATATGGGTGAATCAGGGTGCCCTTGTGAGGAATTTGGATGATGATGACAATGATGATGGTGATAATGGTGGTGGTGGTAATGATGGTGATGATGGAGTTGGTGATGGTGATGATGATAATGATGGTGGCGATGATGGCGGTTATGGAGATGGTGATGATGATGGTGATAATGGAGATGGTGGTGATGATGGTGATGATGAAGATGATGGAGATGGTGATGGTGATGATGGTAATGGTGGTGGTGGTGGTGACGATGGAGATGGTGATTGTGATGGTGATAATGGAGATGGTGATGGTGATAGTGATGATGGAGATGGTGATGATGATGGTGATAATGGAGATGGGGTGATGATGGTGTTGATGGTGATGATGGTGATGGTGATGGTGATGGTGATGATGGAGATGGTGATGGTGATGATGCTAATGGTAGTGGTGGTGATGATGGTGATGGTGATGTTGATGGTGATAATGGAGATGATGGTGATGATGGTGATGATGGAGTTGGTGATGGTGATGCTGATAATGGTGGTGGCGATGATGGTGTTTATGGAGCCGTTGATGGTGATGATGGAGATGGAGATGATGATGGTGATAATGGAGATGGTGGTGATGATGGTGATGATGGAGATGGTGATGGTGATGATGGTAATGGTGGTGGTGGTGATGATGGTGATGGTGATGATCATGATGATCCTGATGGTGGTGATAGTGGTGATGATGGTGATGACTGCCAAGATGTATTGAGCAGTTATTCTCTGTCAGCCACTTGGGTAGTTTACACACATTACCCCTTACAAGCCTATGAGATAGGAGGTAAGGAAGTGAGGAACATTATTCTAACTGTGTAGATGAGAAAAGCAAGGATATTTCGCAAGTGCATGGAATTGATGACTGGTGGAGCAGAGAAAGCCATTCAGCCTGGAAAGAATAATTGAAGCAAGTTTGAGAAACAGAAAATTATCTCCAGGGTCCCCCTTCTAGGCCTTTCTTCACCCTGTCTGAATCCTTGCTCTTGGGTTCAATGAGATGCCCCATTCCCATTTTTTTTAAGCTTCAGTTGATTTCTATTCCTTTAGATCAGATGAATGTTAACAGAGTCATAGAACTTTCTGTAGAGAGACAGTGATTCCTCCTAACAGAGTGTGTAGTGATTTTTGAAAAAGTGACTTGAAGCCAGGGCCAGGACTAAGGTGAGACAGAGGAGGCACCAAGGGCACACAATTTAGGGATGCCCTCATTCTCAGGGTCATGTGAGTGAGGGGGGCACTTGCACACACCTGAGAGTGAGTGCCTCCTGAAATGGCATGCCTTAGGCTTCTCACTTCCTTCGTGCCAGACTCAGCCCTGCTTAAATCACTTCCTTTCCTTTTCTCTCACCGTCTCCCCAGCTATGAAATGAGGAAATTGAATCCAGGATCACAAAGAGCCATTTCAGCTGTGATATTCTGATTCTGGCAAACCAATGACACACTTGCTACAAGCCCCATGTCCCATCTGTAGCAGACATCACTAATCAACCATGGCTTCTTCTTGCTGAGTGTGGACATATCCACAGAATCCAACCCTACACAGAGCCATGACAATCTACTGTGAAATATTTAGAGTTGGCAAAGAAGAGGAAATCTCTTGAAGGCAAGGACAGGGTTTTACTTGTCTCCTTCTCTCTCTTCCACATATACTTGTAAATTAAACCAAACTTGACCAAGAACGTGCATAAACTACCTGCACAGGCAATTACTGTTCATACGAATAAATGCACACATGTGGATGTGGACACACACAACTCCACGCACGGTATATCCTGGCCTACATGTAAAGCGAGGCCAGATTAGCCCCCAAACAATGCAAAGATGAGGTTCCTTGCAAATTAGCTTCAAAATAATAATTTAAAATCAAAATAGTAAGAGTCCAGAAATCCAGAAAGTTCTGGGATTTGTCACAATAATTACCTTAATCTTTTTAGAGATTTTATTTCTTTATTTGAGAGAGAGTGAGAGAGAGCATGAGCAGGAGTGGGGGAGGGGCAAAGAGAGAGGGAGAAGCGGACTCCCCGCTGAGCAGGGAGCCCGATGTGGGGCTCGATCCCGGGACCCCGGGATCATGACCTGAGCTGAAGGCAGACCCTTAACCAACTGAGCCACCCAGGCTCACCCCTTAATTTTTTTCAACAGAAATATCAAGGTCCTTAAAAAGGGGGGAAGGGTGTTTGGTGTCTATGATTTGCTGATGCCCAAGCATGCCTTGTGATGTTTTCCAGAATCACATAGGACTGAAAATAATCTCACATATACATGAATGTGGCCATGTACACAAATAAACATACATACCCTCACACATTCACAATTACACACCTGGACTTGCACACACAATCCCTATGCATTTTTCACATATATATACATGAGCCCATACATTTTTTTTATTATATTATGTTAGTCACCATACAGTACATCATTAGTTTTTGATGTAGTGTTCCGTGATTCATTGTTTGCGTATAACACCCAGTGCTCCACGCAGAACGTGCCCTCTTTAATACCCATCACCAGGCTAACCCATCCCCCCACCCCCCTCCCCTCTAGAACCCTCAGTTTGTTTTTCAAAGTCCATCGTCTCTCATGGTTCATCTCCCCGTCCAATTTCCACCCCCTTCATTCTTCCCCTCCTGCTATCTTCTTCTTTTTTTTTTTTTTTAACATATAATGTATTATTTGCTTCAGAGGTACAGATCTGTGATTCAACAGTCTTGCACAAGTCACAGCGCTTATATTTTAAACATGCATGCACATGTATGGTCTTATGCATATGCACATATGCACTTGGCAAAGCACACATATCCACCAACGTACAGGATGGCACTTATGTCAACCAGCATGTGCCTGCACAGGCACAGATACACAAGCACACCCTCGTAGGTCCCCACACAAGTGTATGTGTACACACATGTGCACATGCATGCATGTTCACACCCACACAAACATGCACACATGTGGACGCACATACATCCGTTGGCACATACATGTGCATCCACACGCACTGGCTCAGTCCCAAAGTCCTGAATTCCCCCACATACTCTGCCACATGTCCACATTCATACACACACAATCAGATGCCCATATTGTCACACATACACGCTTACATCCCCTTGTTCATACATGTGGACACACAGACGCACGCAGACACATTCTCCTGCTATCCCGCTCCCCACACCACACACACACACACACACACACACACACACACACACACACACACACAGACTCGGCCAGCCCTCCAGCATAAGACCCCAGGGAAAGCTGCCCCTTTGGCAGGCCTGGGCTGTCAGGGAGCCTGG